CAGATCAGTTGAATAGCAGATCAATTAGATAATATTAATGTAGTAATTAATTTAAATGGCGGTCCATATGATATGGTAAATTAATGTATATTTATTTAATTTCCTTAATTTACGCCAGAAATTTGATATTGAACACAAGGACATAGGATGATGAACAAAATCACGCCTGCCTGCTGGCTTTTTTATTTAATTTTTAATATATATTGAGAATTATTTATTTAGTTTATTATGAAGGTTAACGATTATAATCCCCAAGAATTATGTATGAAAAATTTAAGTTTAAAAAACCTTGATGTATATAGTGGGGAGCACGAAGTATTGGTCATTTAATATCCAAACTTCCAGAATTATCTTGCAATTAAATATATCATTAATACAAATTACAAGCCTCTGCCGGCCCTGTGCATGCTATAAATATCATCAACACATTTTCTTTTAGGATTGATGGGTCAGATATTATACTTAAAATGAATATAGCTTGATGAATTTGAATTTATCGAAAATCTCTTTTGATAGGAAGGAGTAAATGATAAATATTTTAACATATTGTTTGAGTTTGAATAAATTTAACGGTTCAAATTCAAAGATAATTGTACATTAATAATAATTATTATTGATTAAGGTTCACATGTTTAAATTAAAAAGAATACCAAGATTCGTTCCAGAAAGACATATGTTTGATATGTTATATTGAAGTTGAAAATTGATGGAATTAAATTGAACCTGTTTATACAACGGCACATAAAATCTTTTATCTGCTGGAAATGGGTTGTAGAATTTGCATCTTTCTTTTATTTTTTTCAACGTTAAGTTGATAAAAGAACAAAACTTTTTGTTATTTTATTTGAAAGAATATATCTAAATTAATATATAATAACAAGATGTCCATTATTAATAACATATATTATCAATTAAACCTACCATTAATAATAAGATTGTTGTTTGGATGAAGCAGAAATAATGGAGTTTGTTGCCATCCTTTACTAGTTTATATTTTCATCTTGAACCTCCAAACTAGCAAATCCAATGAAGATGTATGTTTCGAGGCAATTAATATTATATTTATTTACCTTTTTTTAAATAAGGTTTTGAAATAATATCAGGAGTTTGGATCAGTTCAGTAGCATATCAGGATTCAGGAGTTTATATGTTATTATTTCTCTTCCATCTCTTGTTGACTCCGGTCAATCTTTTCAGAATTTATGGCTTGGGGAGGCCAAAATGTACACAGTATAAATAATGAAATAAATAAACCACCCATCCTATTAATTTTTATTCCTGATTTCATTTAGTTTTTGTAGGTTGCCTATATATAAATATAAATTTAACCATTATTAGATGATCGAATGATTAATTAAAACTCTTGAATGTATTACTTAAGCGGTCTTGTGTTCGATTCACCTTTGCTGCTAATAGACTAACCACTGAAGGTTTATTCGATTGTTAATTTCAAGATCTCGAGGGATTAATCAAGATGCACGCAAGTTAGTCCAGACATCCCCGATCACCAAAAAATAAAAAAATATATAACATAAAGCTTATTTTAATGTTGGTCCATCGGATTTATCATGTTTTTCTCAATTTTATGAACAATTTAAAATGGTGATAAATGACAATTTTGGAAATAGTATAGGGGTGGTAAGGGATGAAAATAATACCCAAGTTTGCACTAGCTTGAGATATTTAAAAAATCTAGGGTTAGTTTTGATAAGCCTGATTGCAAATAGTGCTATACTTTTTCATGGATAGAAACCTCACAATGACTTGACTATAAGAGAGTGTTTAGAAAGTAGCACCTTCGTCAAAAGCTTTGATTGAGATGTTCAATTTCTCCTCTTCTGCGTCTTCTTCTTCCTCGAGAAAAAATAAAAAAAAAACAACTCCCATTAACTTAGAAATCTTTATATGCTATTCCAACAAAATCACACATTTTTCATGCTTATTTTATTTTTCACTTATTTTATAACTTTTTTTTTTTTTTAATGACAGAAAGACTTTAAAACTACCGATTGAATAATTATTTTATAATTTAATTCTAACTTCTTCGTAACAAATTTCCTTTGAAAAGGAACAAACAAACCCATGTGAGTAGAGCCCAAAATTTTAATCTAAGGGAGAACAACATTTTCACACCCAAGGTTTGATAAAATGACTCTTTCCCACCCATCAAGTTTTAAAATGACACTTTCCAACAATTCGTTAGGCTCTGTTAGTGTTTTCTGTTAATATTTAACTGAAAATATGAAAATACCCTTAAATAGTTTATTTCTTAATTAGTTTATTATAAATTAAAATTTAATTAAGTTAAAGTCTTTACTCGATTATTTATTAGTTCAAGTGTAAAGATACTTTTTTTCTTTGTTTATTTAATTAATTATGAATATTGATTTTTTATATTAATTAGGAAAATTGAAAAACATTATAAATTTAATAGATTATTGAATAATAGTGATGAGATATTGATAACATTATAAATAAATATTAAGATCATTTAACTTTAAACAATTTCATAGCATTATTCCCAACTTTTTAGATGGAACTAACTACTTTTTCTTTTTTGACTTTTTAGCTAATTAAAAATTTATAAAGTCAAATTTTTAAGGGTACTTTCATCTTTTTAATAAAATATTAACGGAAAACATAACAGAACTTAACGAAGGGTGGAAAAGTATTATTTTTAAACTTGAAGGGTGAGAGAGTGCCATTTCGTCAAACCTTGGGTGGGCAAATGTCTTTCTCCCTTTGATAAATTGAAATCTCTTTAACTTGAAACTAGCAACTAATACTTGGTCTCACCAATTGCTTTTCGTGTACACAACATTAAAATTTGTCTCCCAATGGTCACTGCTAATGGGGCTACAAGGTTTTCTTTTTAGTGAATCCATAATTAAAGAAAAAAAGTTTGATTTACAGCATTTTTCTTTTGACTTAAGTAGTATTTGGGGCATTGACTTCAAAAAGTATGCTGAATATATGCTGATTTGGTTTTTCTTTTGAACATTCTAGAATTTCAATAAATATTATTTGACAAAACTTTAGGAGAATTTTATTAATTTTTTATATTTAAAAAAAAAGAAAATTTCGAGAAAAAATAGATGAAGTATTCAAATTAGCGTAAATATAAAGCTATGTAGACTTATTGTCAAATATTTGAAATAATTATCCAAAATAATCTATAACTCAATGAAATCATCTAACCCAACTACCTCTGGGTGATTGAAAGATTTGATATAGACTTTTGAGTATATTACTCAAAAGATTCTAGTTCGAGTCCTTCTTCGGTTGCTAATAGAGGTAGTCACTGTAGCTCTTACTTGATTGATAGTTCTAGGGTTCCGAAAGATTAATTGAGGTACGTATAAACTGGTTTGAATACTTCCGATCATAAAAAAGAAAAAAATTATAACCCGATATATGGTGTTGAGAATCATATTTAATTAATTAAAAAAAAAATGTGCATGAATATAAATATAAAACCAGTCTATACGGCAGAAATAAATTGAAGAGAAGCTTGAATGTGAAGACATGCGGAGACAAATTAGGTAAGTCAGATCAGTTGAATAGCAGATCAATTAGATAATTATTAAATGTAGTAATCTAATTTAAATGGCGGTCCATATGATATGGTAAATTAATGTATATTTTATTTAATTTTCCTTAATTTACGCCAGAAATTTGATATTGAACACAAGGACATAGGATGATGAACAAAATCATCGCCTGCCTGCTGGCTTTTTTATTTAATTTTTAAATATATATTGAGATTTATTTATTTTAGTTTTATATGAAGGTTAACGATATAATATCCCCAAGAATTATGTATGAAAAATTTAAGTTTAAAAAACCTTGTTATGTATAATAGTGGGGAGCACGAAGTATTGGTCATTTAATTAATCCAAACTTCCAGAATTATCTTGCAATTAAATATATCATTAATACAAATTACAAGCCTCTGCCGGCCCTGTGCATGCTATAATATATCATCAACACATTTTCTTTTAGGATTGATGGGTCAGATATTATACTTAAAATGAATATAGCTTGATGAATTTGAACAGCTCCCACAAATTTTTCATGATGGTTCAAGTTATTGGCCTTGTGGAAGTTACTTTTATTATTATTATTATTATATAACCAGGGATGTTCGAGCCAGCATACGCATACCTCAACTAATCTCTCGAGATCTTAAACTATTGACCAGGTAAAAACTCTAATGACTATATCTATTAACAACCGAGGAAGGGCTTGAACTCAAAATCTTTTGAGTAATACACCTAAGAGTCTCTATGGAATTACTGAACCATCTATAGATAATTGAAAGTTACTTCAAAGAAGCATTTTTTAAAAACTCCATTAAGAGCTTGACATGGAGATACCATTGTCTTTTGATAAGTCTATTGTCTAATTTCAGAATAGAATGAATAAGTTATATTAAGCGATGTCACAATGGGAAAAATAAAATTAAATCCAACAAACTTATAACAAAATAATATTTCCGTCGAAATATTGACTAGGCATTTATTTTATACCAAAAACTATCAATAGACTTGTAACACATGCCTCAAATAAAAAAAAAATAAAAAAAAAAACTAATTTCGTTTTTTATCAAATAAATAAGCTAAAATAATAGTTATAAACCCCTTTAATATGGTTTGATCTCTTGGGCTTCTGGGTAATAGTGGGTATTCAATCAACATGATATCGTGCAACAGTTGAATATTAATTCGACTGCACTATTGATTCCCGGAAAAACCATTTAAAATTTCATAAAAGCCCTGGAATTCTACCAAGAATTCCCACGATATAGAACCATAACATGTAAGAGCTAAAGATTTTGTAGCTTTTATTCCTGAAGCATGGATTGCCATCCAGCTCCTGCATGTTCCTCATACTGAACCATCCAGACGAAGCCTCAAGTCTCTTGGTTTATTATACTGAGGATTGTGAAGCTATTTGGGCCCTGTAATTGAAATCCATGTGCAGGTTCTCAGAATAATGTCTGTAGGAATGGAATTTAATGGTATCGGTATCACATTCCATCATAGTTTTGACAATATTAACTTCCAAGCAAAAGGATTTTACAAAAGGGCATGAAGCACTTTTTGGAGAAGTCTTCGTCGTAGGCAAGCTTCTCCAACAGGTGCTTCAATTGTTTTTACATTTCCAGATGCATTCTGGTGCACAGCCTAAATCATCGAATTCATGTAAAAAATACAAATAGAAAGGGCTTTTATGAATGAAGCATTCAAATAGTTATATCACATCCGTTTTGTTGCCTCGGAGATGAGATCGGATGAAAATTAGGTTGAACACAGTTTAGTGTACATGGAGAAGAGAAGGAATTGCTAACCTTCAATCTTCAAACCCAACTTTATATGGAAGAAATAATTTTTTTGCATTAGTTTCTAATGACTCTTTTTGCCCCTCCCGAAATTTTTACAATTCAGAATACTATATAGTGAACAGAAAAAAGGCCTGAATATTACTTTAATGGCGGTCCTGGCATGTCCTTTATCCAATCAAATTATCTCGCGAACCAGTCTGTCATACCTTGGTACCAAGGAAGGACTGCAGGATCCACAACATAAAAGGGAGTTAGCAACAGATGAAAGCATACATATGCACACGTTAAATGCAGCAATGCCATATTTAAATGTCTTGTGCACAAATCAAGAAAGACGATCATCCACACAGTTAAATGCTAATGAAATAGAATGTTAAGCATCATCAGATCATCATATTTCCATCTCCAACGTAAGTTACCCTGATTTGGCCAAGATTTCGGTTGCATTTAAGTGAAAAAAGGTTTCCCAGTCGGTATATGATTACATGATGTGATCAAACCAGTGTTTGTCACAAAAATTCCAGTCTTCCAGTTAGGGAAAAACTACTTATTTCATTGCACCAAAGTATTTGTAATTCAGGAGTCACACATGGTAATATTCTCAAAAATTGAGGTCCAAAGTGAAACCGAGTTTTGCATTGGGAACATAAGCAGATATTCAGCAAATTATTAGAATGTTTCCAAACAAAAACGATTTGAAATTTCTTAGAAGATACTTTGAAGTTAAGGACACTTGACGTTTGACAGCAAATTAAGGAAAAAGGCTCAACACTCAGACCAAAACCTGCAGAGCCTCAAATCTTTGCGTTGATCATGGATGGGACTTAAATGTAAAATCAAATAGGTTCAGATATCTAATACAAGTATCAATCACCTACCAGTAGAAAGTACTATGATTAAGGACGTGCTCCATCAATGCCAACAAGACTAACCAATCTACAACTACAACTTCAAAGTGCCTTCTGAAATCCATACATACATTCACTAAAGAAACTACATAGTCTACACCAACATAATGGCACAACCATTAAAAACCACCACACAAATCCTCACCTCCATTGATGCAAAATTCTACTCCCATTCTATGTATGCTTTCTTTACCATTAACATTGCACTACCAATTCCAAATTCCTGAATGGGTGTAAGAAAATTTATTGATAAACATAAACTTACTAATCCCACCAGCAAAAAAAAAAAAAAAAAAATAGAAGGTTGGAATAGGGAACCTTTGACTTCAAAGGTTACCGAGAACCACATTTTCTTCTCTAAGTGGTTATGCAGAACAAAATCCGAATTACCACATCATAATCATATGTTCAAGGGAAAAATTAATACAATACAAGCAGCCTGACCATTGAACTACAACTTCCACAAACCCATTCTATAACCTTGCAGAAATGGAGAAATTCCACATACCCATTCTAAAGCTTAACCATTTAACTACAACATCGACATACCCATTCTAAAGCCTTGCAGACATGGAGAAAATTTTACAAGTATTTGCATCCCTTGGATAACATCATGATGTATGAACACACTTAAAACCACAGAGAAAGCTCATTTCAAGTATAGTTGCTCCTCACCATCAAAATCTCTTCTTTTTTTAATTTCTTTTTTCTTTTATTTTTTTGAAGAGGAGGGGGTGAAACCCTTGAAAATCTAAAATCTTCTTCACATTTACCCACATGGAAGAGATGGAGAAATATTCTGTAATTTTTTCCCTCCATCCTCTCCGCCTAAATCAAATTACTGTTACAATATGCATTTTTTTTTTTTTTTTTACAGTAAAAAGATGTAGCATACTACACAACTGGGAAGCTAACAACAATCATGGATGCTGAAACACAAGATCTACATTCAAACTAAAAATTATCAGATAATGCCTATGAGATGAATTCTAATAAACTTTCATCCTTCAACATTAATTCTTGTCTTGAAAATAAAATTTTGCATTTACCTTGACTCCTGCTGGTGTATTTCCAGGCTTAGTTGTAGTTGTGCTCCCAAAAACACCTGTTGAAGGGTTTCCAAGCTTTGCTGTAGTTGTGCTTCCAAAACCGAACTTGGACTTCTTATCTGAAGGCTTTAGTATTTGGAAAGAGCACATCAGTGTATGGTCAACACTCATCATGGCACCAGCATTGTCAAACTCTCCACAATAATTAGGAGCTGAAAATATAGTTACAAGCTGTCGATTGGCAAAGAACTCGTATCCATCCTCCACAACCTGCAAATAATATAATCAAAACGATATAAATACAATCAAGTATACACTAAAACTAATAAGGAACCTCATCAGCTAAAGTTAACCCAAAGCACTGTACAAAAATATCAAAAGGAATCAAATCCAGCCAGATCCAAACACACTGTTACACAGGGTAGGAGCTTATCAGCTTAGGCATATTAAATGAGTGAATGCCTGCGATACAATGCTTATTGTAGACAAAAATAAAATGGATGACCTACAGACATAAAATTACAATAGTGCTCAAGAAAGAAAGAAATATTCCAATATAAAATGCTCATGGCTCCTGATGTTACATTTCTACTACCCTAAAGAGTAATACTCAAGAGGACATTAACCCAACTTGAAAATTGTCTAAAATAAATGGAACAGCTATGACAGGCAAAACCTGGTGAGCGCGACAAATGAGATCCAGATCATGCTTCTGCAGAAACTCGGTCACTTTGTCAGGACCAAACGTAAATGAAACTCCTCTATCATTCATTCCCCAACCTTGAATATCTTTGCTGGGATCTGACCAGAGAAGATCACATAGCAAACCTGTATCCGGTACATCAGTTGGACGTTGTATATTTCTAATTTGATCCAAATTATGTAGGTCTGGAGAAAGGCCCCCATGCATGCAGAGAATCTTCTCATCAATTAAAGCAGCCACTGGTAGACAGTTAAAACAATCTGTGAATGTCTTCCATAACCTAACATTGAATCTTCTCTTACACTCATCATAAAAACCATAGATGCGGTTTATAGAAGCACATTCATGGTTTCCTCTCAGGAGGAAAAAATTTTCAGGATATTTTATTTTATATGCAAGAAGAAGACATATTGTCTCCAGACTTTGCTTGCCACGGTCCACATAATCGCCCAAAAACAAGTAATTGGCTCGTGGAGGTAAACCACCATACTCAAAAAGCCTTAAGAGATCAGAGTATTGACCATGGATGTCACCTGCATTTCATAAACAGAATTCGTCATCAGAACAGATGGATATAATTTTCTATAAAATGAACTCAAATGGACATCTTCTAAGTGCCATCACTTATCAGCTGGGCATAAGAACATGTATCCCTTGTCAAGAAACAGCAGCACATCAACGGTCAAAACAATCATCTAAGTCACAAACTATGAGAATTTACACATTATTGGCCACAAATAAAAATCTAATGGACCACAACAATGATCAATGGAGCCCATTAACTCATAATAAGTTATAGTCAAATGCATTTATGAAACTATTGGTAAGTTTTATGAAAATCAAACAATTCTCCACATATCACATAGAGGTAAATAGGTCAGGTCACACTAGGGCTGCAAATGAGCCGAGCCAAGTATCTGGCTGCTCGAGCTCGACTTGGCTGCTACAGTGTTGAGCTCGTGCAGTTTTTGCTCGAGCAGCCATCGAGCCTGAGTCGAGCTAGAGCTCAAATTCGACAAAACTGCTGTAAATATGCTAAGTATACAATGAAAAATTTGCTCCTGTTTAGAACAAAAATTTCCTTGTAGATAAAAAACCTTTTTCCCATATTTAGAACAAAAAGTCTTCATGTAAACCAAATCCAAATCACAAAGAGGAAGCAAAAACATATGGTAACAAAGCTGCAACACTTAAATAGCAAACAAAATGAAATACATATCAGCCTGATTCACCAAAAGCAAAAACAAAATATTACAAACTTTAGAGAGAATACCCACCTGGGGCAAGCTAAAAAGAGGAGAAAACACCCAAAATTGCAGGTGAAAATATAGAGGAGAAAGAGGGTTTTGAGAAACAAAAAAGAAGCTGAAAATGAGAAAGAACATAAATGGTGTTGACTTTCAACTGTTTCTTCTACTGATTCTAAAGTTACAATTTCTTCTACTGGTTCTAGACGGCAAACAGGACGATGAGACGAGACAGGCGACATCACGAGAGGGGAAGATTGACACAGAGATCAGAAGGTTTCAGCGTTTAGGGTTTTTTTTTTTATGTTCTAAATCCCCAATTTGATTTTTACATATTTCGAATATGGGTGTGTTTGTCACTTCAAAAAATGAAAAATTACATGCAGCCTTCTATTAGTTTCAAAACTATCATATATACCCTTTTGAGCTTGCTGAAGCTTGCAAGCTTGTCGAGCCGAGTATTGGCGCGCTCAAACTTGGCTCGACTTACACCCCTAGGTCACACAACTGAAATCCTAAAACTTTGTAATTAAATAGAAACTGGAAATTAATGTTTATTCCACAAATGAGATCCCCTCACACAACACGCGCACACACACACAAACAAAAGAAATAGAAAGGAGAAAGGAAAAAGCTGAAGGAGGAGGACAAAGGAAGCGTAAGGGATGAAACATTACACGTAAATTGTTCTGACCAATTGAAAGAATGAATGGTGTTGCTATCAAATAACTACTCAGCCCAAGTCCCAACTTAGACCAAAATCCAACCAAATTAAGCATTTCAATCCATAACTCCAAGAAATCCATTAAAAACAATATGTGATGTAAACACAACATATATTTTTGTTTTAGTAAATCTAAAGAAAGCAAAGATTCCATGCCAAAGCACAAGAATCAATGATGTGAACAGCATTAAACAAACTTGAAGCCATGTCACAAATTCATCAAAACTAGCAAATGCAAGACATGACATCACCAAAAAGAGAGAAAAAAAAAGAAAAGAAATAATAATAATAATAAAATAAAAGCACAATGATAAAAGAAATTATCATAATTTATAGCAAAAGAAGCCACTTAATGACAGCCACGTGACACAATTAATTCATAAACCAAAAAAGTCTCCTAAAGCAAACACAATCCTTATTACAAAACTACACCCACACTCATCACAACTTCATTCAATATACTAAGGGTTCATAAAATGAACACTTTAGATGGGAAAAACAACCTTCCATGGCCAATAAATGCAAAGGACAAGGGTGACCACAGTAAAGAACAATGAAACTTAAGGGATTAAGCACAGCACAAAGTCGCATCACAGAAACACTATAACATTCACTTGTTCATCCAGTAAAACTTGCATTTTCATGATTGTGATAAGATAACTACAAACTTAAAACAAACCACTCTGATTCACACCCCACCCCCCACCCCCCAACCCCCAACAAAGAAATAAAAAAAAATCTACTATCAGCACAAAACCCATTTGGGTGAGTTCATCAAAACTACACTCATGGTCATGGGTTACTTACAATACTCAAACATAACAAGTACAACCACAACCAAACCACAAATTAATCTCAGAACAAAAACAACTATAACAGAGCAGTGTTCATCTAATATGTAAGTTCTCAATCACAAAGATGCCACTAACACCAGATACCTGGATATTCTCACATTAATCACCAAAAATACCCCAACTGACAAAATAACAACAGACACAAAATTGAAAAAAAGAAGACAGCAAATGGGCTGGGGTCTCATGAACTAGCAATCAAACACATACTTTGTTTCACTAATCAAACTAACAACAATCAAGATAAAAAAATGCTCCGTTTGGTTCAATATTCTGTGTTTTTTTATAATAGTATTTTGGAAAAAGTAAAGTTGAGTTATTTTTATGAGAAATGTATTATTAATGTTTTGGGAGTTAAATTAAGTAGAATTAGATTTTGGAATATTGAAATAAATGCATTTTTGGGTTTTTATGATAGAATAGTGGAATAGGATAGGGTAATATAGTGAAACAAAGGGGCCCAAATCATTGAAAACACATCATTCATCCATAAAACAAAAGAAAACGTGGGGTTCACCACAACCTCACCATAGCTCACCAACCGCGCTCCAAATGAAGCAATAAAACCATAGCACCAAAAAGAAAAAAAAAAAAAAAAAAAAAAAAAAAAAACAAAACTTAGCCTGGCAAAATGGAGTACATGAAAAGCTCCAGCACCCAACACAATCTTCTTTCTCTTTTAAGACCACGAAATATCCCGAAAATTCGTAAGAGTTCACCTAGTTCTACAACCTCAGTACTAAAAATCCATGATAAACAACTAAGTCATACCAATACCTGAACAAACAGCCTAATAATTCAGTCAATATATTATCTAGAGTCACTAAAAATACTAATACAAATCAATGAAACAACATTAAAATAGGGTTTTGCAAAGAAAAAGGAAAAAAAAAAAGAATTGCTGGAAAAATATCACAAGCGTCTGTCAACACAACCAGACCAAATACACATATTACTGAAAAAATAAAAATAAAAATGTACCGCAAATCTTGATGGGAGCTTCAAGTTCTAACAAATTAGGCTGTTTCAAGAAAATCTCTCTCGACAAAACACAAAGTTGGCGGATCTCGGACTCTGATAACTGGACCTGCTTTCCGGGTCGGCCGCGAACCTCTAATAACCGGTTGATTATATCATCAATAACTCCTTGTTCCATTTTCTTTAGCTTTTACAAGAATTGACCAAAGAACAAGAAAGTCAACGGCTATAACTGAAAGGTCGATAAGGAGAAGAAGATAAAGGAGGCGTTGGAGAGAGAGAGAATAATAATAACATGGATTGAGAAAACAGGAGGAGGAGGAGGAGAAGAAGAAGAAAGGTGTTAGAGGTGTCGTTTGATGAAAGAAAGGTGTCGTTTAGAGAGTTGTAATTGTAAAGCAGAAAATTCTTTTTGAAGAAAGAAGAGAAAGAATATTTGGGTGTCCAGAGCTGACCGATAAAGAAGAGACTGGTAAAAAAATTCCTGGAATTTTTTTTTTTTTTTTTTTTTTTAATTCAAAAGGATGGAGTGCTATATGCAATAATTATGGGAGAAGAGGGTTCAATCGAGTGAAATTTTTTGAAACCCTTTTTTGATTTACTGCGAGGAAATGTAATTAGTGCCTTTTTCTCTTATAATAATCCACCCTTAAAATAATAAATAATAATTAACATAAATACAAAAAAAAAAAAATTTAACCATTTAAAAATGGGAGATTTTCATAAAATATCCTTTGGAGCGTTTGGTTAAAAGAATGTTATATTATTGAGAATGTTAATTAATGAGAAGATAGACTACCTTGAAGATAATTAGGAATGTTATATGATGTTTGTCTAAGCTTATAAGCGGGTCAAACTAGCTTATAAGCTTTAAAATTAAACTGACATGTTTGTTTATAACTTTTTTAAGCTTATCAGTTGAGCTTATAAGCAAAAAAAAAAAAAAAAGTTAGGGGGAGGTACTTTTTTTTTTTTTTTTGCTTATAAGCACTATGTTTATAAGCTAGTTTGACCAAGTATATTACCACATTATCCTTGTTTAATTTTAAAATTCTATAGTATACCCTTATTTAATGTAGTACATTTTTTAGCCATTTTATAATAAAATGTACTTATAAGCTACATTTTACCAAACACGTCAATTACTTATCAGTCACTTATAAGTATTTTAATCAAACATGTTTGAGCTTAAAATTTCAAATGCTTATAAGCACTTGTTGTTTATAAGCTAATTTTCATAAGCTCAGACAAACATCCCCTAAATATGTTCAGTTAGATTGTAATTATTTGGTGGGTATGTTATATAGATTACCGAATTGCCCTTATTTTTAATATTACAATAATAATAATATTGTTATTTAGATTATTATTTTAACCTCCTAAATTTGAAATTTTGCTAAAACATCTCAGTCACAATAAAAGTTTAAAAATTAGTCAAAACACCCTCAACCACTCAAAACGATTGTTGACTATCAACTACCATTGCCGACAGTCGTCAAACGACGCACGACTGGTCAGATCTAAGCGACCGTGCTCCAATCTAACCATTTCTGATCAGATCTATGGTTGTTTCCTTAAACATTAGTAACATGTAAACCTGTTAAATTAAAATTAGAAGTTTATATAAACTTACTAATTTACTCTCACTTATTTTTGTAAAAGATGTCAGATTAAATTACTAAAATATCCTTATATGCTAAATTTCTTTCTATAAAGGTAAGGGTAAAATATGAGAATCTCCCGTTTAAAAATATGTCACTTGAATTAAAAAAAGAAAGGTATATGAAAACGTATGGTTGATAATAATGTGGATGTGAAAGCATTTGAAAGATGCGTGAAAAATGAAAAAGGCGTGTAAAACATTTTGAATGAAGATTTGAGTTGGGTTAGTGGAGAAACCAAACTTCCAAAATAAAAATTAAAATTGAAAGTAGTGGACCAACACTACTCCATATCTTTCTAGATTTTTCATTAAAACTTTTAAGTACAATTATTATTATTATTTGTCTCCTTATCTTCAACTTATTAACCATTCATTTCTTCACCCTCCCTTGTCCCTTCATTCATTTCAACATATTGACTCTAATTTATTTGACTAAATTGTCTACCATATTCTAAGAAATTAATTCATTTAAACCCTGAAGGAGGGTCAATGTATTAACTCGAATAAGTAAGATATATGACATTAAAAAATAAATAATACTTAAAAGAGGATAGTTTAAATAAGAAGAAGAAATTTATGGATGCTTCTAGGAAGATGAGGAGGTTGTATTAACACACAACTTAATTTATAATAAAAATTAATGAGTAAACAACTTTTTCCCACCCAAGGTTTGCCTCAATGACATTTTTCCATCCAAAAAGTTTCAAAATACCACTTTTCCACCACCCAAAGTTTATATTCCGTAAATACCCTAAATATACTCACTTTCTCAACTGACATTCGGTGAGTTACCAGAAGCCAAGGTAAGAGGAGTTTTGTAGAGTGGAGATCGATGGATTGAATGGTGGTGACTAATTGAATATTCGCTACCGAAATAAGCTAAGAACAGAAAACCTTAGCTTTGCGGTGGTCGACAATCAACGAGAAATCAGGTGTTGAACTGAGAAGGGTTTTGTAGAAAAGAGACTGGAGGTTCAAATGGTGGTAACAGAGAAAATTTTCATCGCTGGAATCGGCTTTGGGTACTAACGAAATATAAACTTTGAGTGAGAAAGTGGTATTTGAAACTTTTTGGATGGGAAAGTGTCATTAAGGCAAACTTTAGGTGGGAAAATAACGTTTACTCAAAATTAATTAATAAAGTTAGACAAAGTAAATAAAAAGGAAAGAAACTATAAATAGAATGTGACAAATTAAACTTTTTTGAATGATAATAAAATGGTTTGGTTTAATTTAGAATGTAATGAGAAGCCACGCCTAACCTAACAACAAAATCTAAATTAAATAAACAAATTTTGTACAATGTGAACCCACTTTCTCTCTTTGTCTTCCTGTAAACCAATTCTCCACCGCCACCTTTCTATCCTCTTATACAACACTTTCTTTAATAAAGTTTCTTCATATAAAAAAGAAAAAAAGTGGTGTAGCATAATATTAGTGGTTAAGCTCCCGTGTTTGATTTTCTTTTTCAATTCTATTGCTTCAGTTTCATTCTTTAGTGGTGATTTATCAACATGATTAAAGTAAAGATGCTGGAGGATCACAAGATGCCAATACAACCGCGGATATCAACATCCCTTTCATCTTCATCACTCTGATAATTCAGGTTCTGTTCTTGTACCCCAACTTTTGACTCTCTTTGGAGCAGAGCTATGACTATGGCTCTAAGTGCTAAAAATAAAACTGGGTTTATTGATGGTTCCATAAAGGCAAAATACCCGACTAGTTCAAACTATAGTGAATGGGTTTGTTGCAGTAACATGATTAATTCTTGGATTTTGAATTCGATGTCCAAAGAATTAGCACTTAGTGTGATATACTCGGATAGTGCGCGTGAGATTTGGACAGATCTTAAAGAATGTCTTTCTCAACAAAATACACCTCGTCTCTTCGAAATAGGAAGAGTCATGAAACAAGACCAGTTACATGTTGCTAATTCTTGTTAAGGACCTTTTCCTACCCAAATAATGACTTCATGACACTTTTTTACCCACAAAATTTTAAAATATCAGTTTACTATCCTATATTCCAGCGGCGAATAGAGAGCAAACTTGGTCCACACTGTTGGGGTTTTTGAAGAGGGGAGACCGATGAGTTTTTTAGTGGTAGAAGGTTGAATTTTGGTGGTTAGGATTGATTAGAATTTGACTTGAAAGGGATCGATGGGTGTAGGGCTTGAGACATTTTGATGAGTGATGATCGGGAAAGAAAATGGTGGTGGTATAGGATCGCAACGATATTAGAATTGAAAACATAATATAAATTTGAGTAGTAAAATAGTATTTTAAAAATCCGTTGGTGGAAAAGTATCTTTAAACCATTACTTGGATGGGAAACAATCGTTTACTCTTGTTTAAAAGCTTTATGGGATGAACTTAGTAGTTTAAAAGTTTTTCCTACTTGCACATGTCAAGCTCAAAAGGCAGTAGTGAATGAGTACCATCAACAACATCGACTTATGCAATTTCTTATGGGTCTTAATGACTCATATTCAGCAATTCGTGGACAAATCCTTTTAATGGCAACAATAAATCGTGCCTACTCTCATGTCTTGCAAAAAGAATGACAGCTCCTTTTGAACTAATTCGTTGCGACATTTGGGGAGGGTATCAAACCGAATCAATTTCTGGTGCCAAATATTTCTTAACCATTGTTGATGATTATAGCCGTGTTACTTGGGTTTATCTTATGTCTCGTAAATTTGAAACTCGCTGTCTTATACAAGCCTTTGTTAAAGTCATTCAAAATCAGTTTCATCGAATATTGAAGCAAATTAGTTCGGATAATGGAGAAGAACTTCGTATGAAACATTTTTGTTCAAGAAAATGGAAATTTTCATCAAACTAGCTATGTGAATGTTGAAACTTAAAACAAACACGTTACAAAAAAAGCTTATAATAATAACATAACATAATAATTTATCTTGGTTCATTTTTTTTTCAAGGAACTACGTCCAACATTCAAATAGAGCGATTTTATTGAGTACCAGAAAATTGCAGAATACAAAAATGAACAATATCGATAGCTCTCTTTTCTCTCTATTCTCACACCTTAGGTCTTTCACTATTGCAGAAAATACATGATAGAAACCTAACCTCATTTAGGCTTACTCGAATCTAACCCAACTAAGACCCGAATATTAGTAAACTAATTCTAAATCCAATTATACATTGGGCTTACCATGAAGGGGGCGCTACCCCCTCACCCTTGCCCACTCACCGGCAAGTGGGACCGTCGCCCACTCACCGAGGAGCGGGACCTCCCGAATGAGTCACCGTAGGCAGAAAATCCGTCAAGGTTAAGAGAAGTATACATCATATCCAACAGTAAACACCGTTCAACAAAATGGAATTGTGGAGCGTTAACACCGACACCTTCTCAATGTGGCAAGTGCTTTACGTGTTCAAGCCTATTTACCTATTAAACTTTGGGGTGATTGCATTCTTACAGCCACAGATTTAATTATGTACCCCCATCGACTGTATTTTCTGGGCAAACCTCATATGAAAGACTTTTAGGTATCAAACCTTCTTATACACATTTAAAGGTATTTGGATGTCTGTGTTATACTTTTAGTGTTGCAATTTCTGATATGTTAGAACCCAAATCTTTTAAGCAGGCTGTTGACTGTTCAAGACCCAAAATGGTGTGATGCTATGGCTTCTAAAATTCCTGTTCTTAAGACGAATAAAACTTGGACACTTAATCAATCTCCCACCTAAATGAGTTTATAAAATAAAATAGAGTAAACGACATGTTCCCACCCAAGGTTTGACGAAATCCC